AAAAAAAAAAAAAAAAAAAAAAAAAAAAAAAAAAAAAAAAAAAAAAAAAAAAAAATGATAATATGGTAACTGATAATAAGGAAGAATACTACTTATTTAATTTTATTACTTTTATAAATCTTATCATCGTTATTGTTTTTTATTCATTAAAATATTTATCTATGGCTAAATCAAGGACTGGTGCAGGGTGATATCTGAGGGTGCAATACTATTTCATACGATATAAGTATAAGTAAGATTATTATAATATGGGAAAAATAGTTTGAATACGGATTTATGTTCACAAGAGATTATAAAAAAATGATTGTTTGTGAGATGTGATCTATAAAATTAAGGGGTAGTTAGCTCCAAGCAAAAATGGTGTAAGAAAGAAGATTGTAAAAGAATGTAAAAATCTGTATAAAAACAAAGAAATTAATAAATACATTAATATAATTTTCGCTTAGATACACGAATACATACATATAACGGAGAAAAAATTTTTCAATTTTTACCGTAAAAGTAAAGTTGAGCCACCAAGCTAGTTACTAGGACTGTTATTGTGATTTACTACGATTTTCTTTCTTTTCAAAATAACTATTTCTGTAGTCGTATACTGAAAATTCCTGTATTTATATGTTATCTCCAAATTACCATGTACAATTTCACAGCAATTATTTCTGTAGTTGTTTTCTCTGAATGGCCAGACATGTACTACAGTTATGTATGCAAATTTTTACTCAAAAATAAAAATCCATCGTTATTTTTTTTGGGGAAGTTAAAATATAACTTTAGTAAAACATTATAATACTTAGTGCAACAAAAATTGTATTACTTTTATTATGAGGTAATGTATGTATGTATGATAATGAAAGTAAGTTTGAAATGCAAAATTTTCAGCCAACTTTGTTCTCGACTAATAAACGATTGTCCTCCATAAAAAAACAGTAAAATAGCACAAAAATTAATGCATAATAATGGATTAATAGAAAAGAATACAAAAAAATGCCAAAAAAGACTTTTTTTTTTTTTTCTGGACATGGTAAAAATATTCTTAAAACTCAGAATCGAGATTGAGCGCACCATTTTTCCCGATGCAAGCTAATTGAGTTTCCGTAACTGTGAAATGTCCAAAAAGTCGAAGCTGGCATTTTCCCTTTAAAAATTGACGATCGGAAAACGTCGGGAAATGAAAACACGCATGCGCGCGCATACAGTTGCTCGATAACAACGTAGACGAAACAATCCGTGTCTCTGGGTAAAAACAAGCACGTAGGTTGCAGAGAGAAGTCGTCTGTGCTTGACGCGAGTGAACTTGATAATAAAAAAGTCCGGAAAGCACCAAAGCTCCCTCGAAGCTTGCAGGCGCACACATAGAAGTCTTTTTCCGGCCCGTTCACCGACAGCCGTGTATTGTACTTGTGCGAGGCTTCGACACGCCGTGACGAAATCGCCTGGCTTTCATTCTGCACTCATTCCTCGCGTTTATCGAGATTAAGCCGACCCTCGCGTATCACACAGAAGTGCAAAGTTATGAAAGTACGCAGCATGGCCATTATGGAGTTCGTTCGGATTCAAGAGTATGGCACACTGTGATGGAAAACGAGGAGGGAGGAGAAGAAGAAAAAAATATCGTGAATAGAATGTATAATGTGACATTTGCCGGCGCGACTGTGTATGGACGGGTCTCCGAATGTCAATGGCGCATTGAGGCAGCGTGACAATCGAGGCTCAAGCTCCTAATAGAATTACGTCGACGTTACACAAGAGAGCTGTTGTTGCCCTCGTATGGATTCAACTTTGGCGTTAAAGGTGAAATCGCGACAGTTGCGTTTCTGACTTACTTCGTGGAAGAGAGAGAGAGCTTTTTCTCGCTCCGGTATCCGCTTGAAGATGAAGGACGCGAGTAGGCTCTTGAGGGTTTTGTTGAGGGTTTCGGAAAAGGCAGCGAACATCGCGAGGGTTTGCAGGCAGGACAAGGCACTTTTTGCCCTGCTCGTTCAGGAAAAGTCGGCCGACGAGAAGAATCCACGGTTTTTTCAAGACTTCAAAACATTGGCCGACGTTTTGATTCAAGAAACCATTCGCCATGACATTGGCTTGGAGGTGAGATGTACATTTTACGACCAATGCCATTTCGTCTGAAGCATAAGAGCTTTTTACGCCCATACATCACTGGCAGAGCTTTAGTTGGTGTACGAAATTAAATCAAAATTTTTTTAAACAATAATTGCAAGTGTATAGGTTAATTTCAACGTACATCGGAAATATTTTTATAAAAAACTTTTAAAAATGCGCTGTAAAAAGCTTTAAGTTTAAAAAATGTTTTATTTTGAATGAAACAAATAAAAAAAAGTATTTAATGAGCTAATACTTAAATCTACATTTTTGTAAAAACAAATTTAAAGTAATTTTGAAAGGGATTAAAAATATAAGATGTAAGATCTCGTTATTCAAAGACGATATACGTGCATGCCTATCATAAAGCAGCTACGGCTCTGCTCATACCTATATATCTCTTATAATATGCAATACATGCGTGCGTGCGTATACCTATATATGATAGTGGAGGGAGCCGCTCGGGCCATGAAACAAGTCCGCAGCCTCTCTCTTTTCTCTTCTTCTTCGCCTTTGCTTACCCCGTCCCGTCTTATCCGTGCCGCGCGCAGTAGCCTCGAGCGATACTCGTCAGAAGCAGAAGGAGCAGCATCAGCAACGGCAGCGGAAAAGAGGAAGAAAGAAAGGAAAAAAAAAAAAAAAAAAAAAAAAAAAAAAAAAAAAAAAAAAAACCTACCACTTTTTTGCTCGGGTTCCGAGTTGCACAAACTTTCCAAGGCCANTTCACAGATTCGACTGCTGACTATATAAACGGTGGTGAAGTCATTGACGACACAACAGGGTTACACTTAAGCGGATTGCGTTGCGTTACTGTCCTTAATATTCCCAAATTATTGTTTAAACTAATAATACAGAATATAAATTTGTTTAAAGATATAATTTTGCAACTGTGACTTGAACATACTATTGAAGCTTGGCTAAATGTTATTGTACATCTTGATAATTTTTAAAAGAGAGTTCAGAAAGAAGTTCAGAAAAGAGTTCAGAGTTTGTGAGGTAATTGTAATATAGAACTTTTTAGTTAGAAACGTTTCTTTTAGTTCATTTTTTTCTTCAATACTTTAATTTTATGACATTAAACACAACTCCTTGAAATTTAATGGCTTCTTCAACCTGATATTTTAAAGTTTTTTTTGCTACCTTTTACTGATTGATACCACAAACCTCATGTAATGATACATTGAGATATTTTTTTAGTTTAAAGTGTTTTTTCCTTGCTATTTCTTATTAGATAACATCATTTTTGTCACGAGCAATTTATTTCTCTAATTCTTACAAGTCTAGAAACGAAATCATTTTTATTAATACACTTATTCATTTCGATCTTTATCTTCACTATTTTATTAACAATATCACCAGTTAGTTAAATAATTGATAAAAATACGATTTCAGCCAGTTAGAAAAATATTCAGTAGCTTAGAGTTTTTAATACAGATAAACGGATTAAAAGTTACTGTAGATACTACGGGAGATGCCTATGTTGCGTTTAGCCGATTCAGTGTACGATTCGTTCTTCAGAATAAAATAACCTTCCACTGGATCACTAATTTACCCAGGATTTATTGTTTCGTTCGTGTTATTTTTTTCTATGAAATATGTAAAAAAATTTCGATCCACGAGTGTTTCTTATCTGCGGTTGTTTTTTCTAAATATTTTGAAAAAAAAACAAAAAAACACTGTCCCTCAAATTCCACACTACCCACACACCTACTCAAACTGACCCGAATAGAAATGAACTTCAGATTCTGATCTGGGATGGATCGAGGGAGTCTTTGGACGGAGAGTACGCAGTCTAGGATCCACATCGGATCAGCACATTCAACATCTGAAAATTGATTTATAAGTAGATCCTACATAGACCTAGCTTAATAGCAATATCTGATTTACTAAAAGAGTCGCGTATACAAAAAAAAAAAAAAAAATGTATCGCAAAACTTATTATTTTATTATTAAGTATGAAATTACATTTTTTTAACATCACCGTTTAAATGTATTTTGCTAGTATTTTTTTGCCAGTTTTTTTGTCCATAGACGTATCAAAAGTTTCTATTCTAGCATTATGTTTGTTTTTAAGTACTATTTTGTTTGACATAGGAGTTGGGATTTAACAACTTTAAATTATTTTAACAAAAAATTTGTTCAAGTACAAGTAGGTTCATACTAACGTATAAATCAACGTGTATAAAAATCTTCAAAATATTTTATATCCTGCAATTACTCGATGCTTGATTATTTTTTTGCATCCCATTCCATATTCTTCATTCAAAATGTTTATTTAGCTTTACTCTCTTCCTCTTTACGAATTTTTCAACTGTAAATCTTTTTAATTCAAATCATAAAAGTTTATTTGTGCACTAAATCCCCTTTTATTCTAAGTAATTATTATAAAACTGAAAACGAATTGAATGGATCTCAGCAAGCAGACGACATTATGGGATATTTTTGATTCCAAAGCTGCGCACACTTTAAATTAAAAATGGATCAGAAATACTGATCCGAATCGGATTTAAACGTCAGGTTTTTTGTCGCAACCGCCCCACATGAAAATTTTCTGATTAAAGAATATAAATTGATAAAACTCTATAAATATTTGGTATTAAAAAACATCAACAATTTGTGATAATCATTTTAATAATTGTACATGAGAAATTGTAGTACTACCAACGAAAATTTTGTGGAGTTTGTGATAGCCCTTGTACATGCGATGTGAACGCTGAGAAACAAAAAGTTAATTAGATTGACAATTACGTTCTAACACTATTTTCAGGTTGACTTTTGTTAGTTTTATACACTTTATTTGTTACAGTATAATTAATTTATAACGTAATTAACCAATAAATACGTATACGCTACTTGAGGTATAATTAATTTTTCATCACATCCTGAACTGGTTTTACTCTCAGTTTCCAGAATTGACTGGTGCTGTCAGAGGAGAAGAGAACAACGTTTTCAGCAATACGCTGGGCGAGACAATTACAGTCAAGATTTGTTCCAGCTTACAAAAAACGGCAGAGTTACTAAAAAAAGTTTTGGATGACGACGAAACAGTTGCCGAACTACTTTCCAAAGAAGTTCACCGGGACATAGAGATGTCGGATGTTCCAGTTGACAGTACAAACGTTCCTATGGATTTCGAAGTAGATATATCAGATCTCGGTATTTGGATTGATCCCATAGGTAATTCATAAAAATTCAGTAAAAATTATGTAAATGTTGTATCCTACCTATAAATTTTGATTTTCATCGGTTCATTCGTTCTGTGATTGGTCGAGACGGGTGTTGGGCGCGTAAATTTGAAAATGAGATTGAATAATTAGTAGTTTAACCCATTGAATTGAGTAAAAATTAAAACTGTATATTTTACAGTAAAAAATTATTCAACTGTTCTAACAAAATCGGAAAATTAAATACTTGTTATTAACTAAGAGGGGGTTGGCCCGCGAAACCCTAGTATAAAATTAAAAACGATTGATATCGCTTATGGTTACCGATTGTAGATTTTTTTTTCTTTTTTTAGTGAAAAATTAAGTTTTTAACGATGAAATTATAAATTATTTCACAGATTCGACTGCTGACTATATAAACGGTGGTGAAGTCATTGACGACACAACAGGGTTACACTTAAGCGGATTGCGTTGCGTTACTGTACTTATTGGAGCTTATTTCAAAAGTTCTGGTCTACCTGTTATGGGAGTCGTTAATCAACCCTTTTTCACACAAGAAAACGGAACAGAGTAAGTGCACAAGTGGTCGTAGTAAGATTTAATTCTAGACATTTATTTATAATTTTCTTGAAATACCTCGAATTAATAGAGAAAAAAATCGTTTTCCAACGTGATAGTATTTAAGATACTTAAAAAAAAAAAAAAAAAAATGAATTAATAAAGATTTTTTGCTTTAAATTTTTGCGAGGTAATGTTTTGTGCTAAAGATTTACTTACGATTTTCATCTTCAAGCTTAAGGTATAAGCTTAACAAGTTATTTAGTGTAAATTTCTATAATCATTGAATTGAGTTATAATTTTATTAAATTTTATAACTAGTCACTCAAAGCTTACTATAAATTTTTAAAAATCTAAATTTTTTTAGAACTATATGGTATTTACCTTACCAGAAGATGTAAGAAATTTTCAATCGAAATATTTTAGATCCAATTTAACGAAAAAAAATTGTATCTCATTGCGTTGCAGCATATAATTAAAATTTTTACATGTAAAAAAGGTCGTATGTCATAAAAATTTTCCTTTCATTACATTTTTTAACAAAGAACATGAGTAAATTTACTGCTCATGAACTTTAAGGGAGCTCGAGAGCATTGTTTTGATTTATCATGTTTATATTTAGAACAAACAAAAAAAAAAAAAAAAAATTTTTTTATAGAGAAATTCTTGCAACAAGTGGTTAGTATTTTAGGATCCTAAAATAATTCTGCAACTGTTTTTGATAACATATGACATTAAATATGTAAAAGAACAGCTGTGCTCCAATGCAATATGACATAATTCTTTCAAACTAAATTGCTTCTCAAAATTTTTTTTTTTTTAACATTTGGATCTGAAATTTGTGTAAATCTTGTAGAAAGGTAAATGTACATATTATTTTATAACATTCATTGTAAACAAATACATTGAATTGACATTCTTGTAACAAACGACTAACAGCTTAGAGTTAAAGTTTGCCAATTACAGATTGTCCCTTTAGAGTCCTGAGGTAGAAGTTTTCTCTAATTTGTTTTCAATCCGAATTTCATACAAGTAATTGAGTAAAAAACAGAAAAAAGTTCTAAGAACCTTGTTTAAGATTTATAAATTGGATTTTTTTTTCTAGAATGCTTGAAAAATGTATTTTTTAGGTGGAAAGGTACCTGCTACTGGGGATTTTCAAATGGCAGTTCTTCATGTTGTTCCATCCACAACGAAGAAGACAATAAAAACAAAATAGTTTTGATCAGTAGATCCGAAAACCCAAGTATAAAGTCGAAGTTAAGCGAAGCTCAATTTCAAATAATAGAAGCTGCGGGCGCGGGTTACAAATTGATAAGTGTTGCTTCTGGCAAAGCAGATGCTTATTTGCTCTCCAAAAATTCGACATATCGATGGGATTTATGCGGTCCACATTCAATATTACTATCACAAGGTGGAGGTATTGTTGATTTCGAAAAATCTACAAGCGGTGTTGATTACTGTGATGCTATTATAAGGTATTCCCACGTTGATACGAAAGTTTGTAACGAAGGTGGATTAATCGCCTTTAAAAAAAAGAAAACTTTGGATGATTTATTAAATATTTTTTAATGAAAACTTAAACGAATTTTATGAGAGGGACACACTTTAAATGTTATAAATACCAAATGTTATACATATATATACCAAATGTAAAGCCATGCTGTTGACAGTAAAGGATTTACATTTTGATCTCTTACTGGGAAAATGTACTTCAAGTATGGAAAACAGATTTTCGCCATACCCCACGTTTTGCCATATTTCTTAGATCAAAATATGCTTATTTGGTTTCATTAGTCAATAAAATTGGTCTTATTAGTTAATAAAATTCCATCAATTTTATTAGTTATTTAAATTATTTTGGATTTTTATTGGTGAAAATAATTTATTTGCCGCGCACGCATTGAAACAGATATATACTTTAGAAAAATAACTGAAACGTTCACAATTTACGTTAGTGTTAATATCATGATTTAAAATATAATAAGATAACTTGAAATGCAAACAATACGTTTGGGTAATGTACAACATCACGTGCTGACTAAAAGTTACTTTGAAGTCTAGTTGGAATCCATTTGATAAGTTTAAAGTGCATACTAAAATCATGAATGATAATATTTTGTATTACCTGGGATGTCTGAAAACAAACTGTTAAGATACTTATTTAATTGTGCACGTTTAAAAAATGTGTTTCAATCAATATACCCTATACATTGAGAATTTATAAAAATATGTTGTACAAATTACATGTGATGATTGTGGATCTCTTGATGTGATATGGTATTTATTTTGTTTAATAAACTGTAAGTCTTAATGTTTAAAATAAATTATGAAAAGTTAAGAAAAAATCGATAACTGTACTTTATTTTACTGATTCCTTTATAAGCTCTTATATATCACAAATAAAGTAAGTACAACATTGATTCTTATTATACACGTTTACACAGATTCTTCTGCTTGAGTTTCAAGATGAATGAAATGCCTTTGACTCGGTGTGGATGCTCTCGAGGGATTGTTGTAATTAACGCTAGCGCTTCTGCCTAGGTTTTTAGTACTGTTTATTCGTTTTGGTACACTGACGTATGATGTGCAAGTGTTGACTCGTTTAAGACTGGAATTGTTTTGTCCATTGCCACCTTAAAAATTACAATGCGTCATTACTTTCAAACTTATAATTTACTAAATACATGTACATTTGAAACAAGTGAATGATTGCAATACATGTAACGTTGATAAATTTTTGTAAATACATATTGGTTCTATTAAAAAATAACCAACTCTTTTATTGATCTAATTGTTGTGTTTTAAGTATTTGTTTTTACTTTTGTAAATTTTTTTACTCATACAATATCAGAATAAGTATTTTGTCGAGAAAAAGTATGTAACATTTGTATTTTTTATAATTTTTAATGCCAATTGTTCTAGCCATTTCTAGATTTTCTGAGTTTTAGGGTACAGACTTATTTTTATAATGCCTTGTATATCACAGACTGCCGACCTTTTGATTTTGCCGAATCAATGGAGTTAATACTTAAAATTAGCAGACAAAAGAAGGTTTGAGGTCCAATTAAAATACGACTCCTATATTGGCTGGGATTATTAATAATTTGAATGAAGTAGTGCATTTATAAAAGTTTTTAAATAGATTATGCTGAAACAGAGATATTGATTTTACAAAACCAATAAAATCGAGAGAAAATTCAGTTGTGACAGGTATCAAGCAATATAAAAAATTTAATTAAATTAAAATTTAATTGTAAAATAGTGACGGATATCTTAGAATACAAAAATTACAGTTTCATTGAAATCCACCAGTTAAATTCTGGAAAAATACAACTGATTGAGTAAGTACACATGTCTATAAACACCCCCATCACACATCCACATAATATCTGATGTTTTTTTATACTTATAGGAATGCTGTTTTACGTAGAAAATTTACAGATTTCTCAGGCTTTTTATTATAAATTATCTAAAAATAACATTTTTTAGATATTTAAAGTTAATTTTTTTTTAAATTGAAAAATAACTAAAAAACCGATAACAAAAATTGAATATTTACTAAAAATTGATAGGTATCAAGCAATAAAAAAATTTTTATAAATTGATAAGATCAAAATAATAGAAAAACAATCAATGAAACCAAAGCTTTTTTTTTTAAGTTGTCTTAGGCATCTATAAATTAATAAAAAAATTGGTCGAGGTTTATGAAAAGCCATTAAGGGAATCATGAAATATAATCAATAATATACGTAATCTCATATGCACCCATAAAAGTCTACATATATTTTTGTAAACTATAGTTTTAAAAATCATATTTGTATGAAATTCAACGATCTTTCAGATTCTTCAGCATAAAATGTTTTAAAACGACAAGAAAAGGCTAAAAACTAATTTTTCGAAGAAAGTAGTTTTTGCGAACTAGATAAAACCGAAGTCAAATAATTACACATCTACACATCCATACACCGATGCACACAGAACCAGACACCTTAGCTAAAGTTCTGTTTCGATTCTAAATTTCATGAAACACATTTATACTTATCGAATTAAGAAATACTTAAAAAAAATTATAAGTAGAGCGTGAAGCACTCCTGATCCGTCTAGTTCATTTAAAATTGTAATTAACTTAAGTTTAATGAATATTTGTTGAAATTCATCATACAGTTTTACTTAAGTAACAAATAATTAAAAAAAAACAATAAACTTGCATAAATATTAATTTAAAACTCACAATGACATTTTTATACACAATACATATTTATTTGATACCGCGACCAAGAGTTAGTCTTAAAAGACTTGGATATACTGTGTATGCACGAATAAAATTCTATTTTTTAAAAATACAATATAATTTTTTTGCAATATACAGGGATTACAACGGTGAGTAACATCCAACAGCAAATTTTTCTCAAACGAGAGTTCAGTAGATCTATTTACCTGTCCTGCTTGTCTTGTGACCAACTGTTGAAACAATTGAACCTGTCAGAGCATGTGGTCGAAATATTTTATCGAAACTGTGTGCAAATATTGAAAAAGGGCAATAAGAAAGACCTGGAGTTGTATAGTGACAATGACATAGTGTCATTAATCACACCCATGTCCGAGAACCATGTCGAATTAGACTATATAGTTGCAAAAAATTGAAGCAAAAGAGGTATTCACAGGAGAAAGTAAAAAAAATTTCAGAACTTATTAAAAAAGAAGTTTTTAATATTAGTAACGGTGGTCTAGATAGTGATAGTGATTATGATGACGAAGATTTTACGATTGTAACAACTTTGCAAGAAAGTTTCAATACTACTGACGATTGCGCTCAAAAAATTATAATTTTAACCATTTTTAGACATCGGTCTTACAAAAAAATAGAGTTTGCTTTTTCAACTGATACTTGCCAAATGCTTACTGTTGCAAAAAATATTGATACAGAGAAAGATATTTTAAGGAGGCTCTCTCGTGCAGAAATGCCAACCCACATCGTAGGTCACAAATTTGCTCGCAAACTCAAGTATAGTTGGCATCACTGACGCAAGAGAACACAGTCTAGCTCAAGCGCTCGTACCAAACACACGCTTTCTGCGCATGCCCGTTACGCATCGCTCTTACTCAGACTTGAGTTCTCTCTAAACGGCCCTTTTCAGGGCTACCTCTTTTTCTTTCCGTAAACGCGACTTAGTCGCGCCGCGTGACTGTGTTTCCGCTAAATCTTACACCCGCGTACACGCCACCCTCAGAGGTGGCCCAATTGGCTAGCCCTTCATTAGGGCACAGCCAAACCATGAACACTGTGGATAATCCACAATTTAACGTCAGTGTGACTAATTCTTTCAACGCGCTGTTGGAAGAATCGGACTCATCTTCCGAGATGTTAGTGCCTAATAGTGCAAGTGACGGTGCAAGTGCTAGTACAAGTGACATAAGTGCACAGCTCCCCCCAATGTCATCCTTGACACATAGCCAGCCAGAGGACCAGCAATCCCTCGAGCATAATAGTCGAAATTCCCGCGTCAACCAACGCAACCTCCAGCGAGAGCGCAGCCCGCTCTCTCGGGCTATAACAGTACCTGAAATTTCCAAGGAACTCGAGAGCCAGAAACAACGGATCGAGTACCTGAAAAAAATAGTGAGTGAGTACTTAGTTCAGCTGGAAAATTCCATCCAGCTGATTAATTCTTTAAAACTCTCCAACGAGGAGAAAGACGATCACAATCTTGGACCAAAAATTATGGCCCAGGATTAACAAAGCCCTCATAGCGGAGAACATCCCTGTCCGCCGCGCCATTACGACCTCTGAAGGTACTCTCGTGTACCCCGAGAACGTCGACAGCTTTTGACGAATCGTTCATGACCTTGACAAGAAAAAGGTCGAGTTTACCACCCATCAGCTTCACGAGGATCGTGAAATGATAGCTGTCATCCGTGAAGTCAACATCGGCTATACGGAAGCAGAAATCCTGGAGATGATCCAGGAAAAAGTACCATCCGCCCGTTGGGTCTAGGGTGAACGGACCTGGTCCCTGGTTACCGGGTACCTAGATGCGTTGGATGCCAAATCCAACGATATCTATAACCTCAGGTCACTCGGGAGTACTTCTGTAAGAGTGGAACAGAAGCGCAAATCGAGTGATGAACCTCAATGCTGTCGCTGCCAAAAGTTCAATCACAGGGCAGCCTACTGCCGCGCCGCCTTCGTCTATGGTTTCTGCAGTATAAACCACGCTACCACAACCTGTCCAAAAAAGGACAAGGACCAAGTCACCCCTCGTTGTGCTAACTGCCATGATGAGCACCGCGCCTTCTACCGGGGTTGTTCAAAAATCTCCCAAAAAGGAGTTCACGCTCCAAAGAAAAGCACTACCCCTCCTCCCCCCCTTTTGGGAGAGCCACCCCTCGGACAACAGCCCAAGGCTCGAACATCATTCGCCCGGGGATGTCATATGCGAATGTGACATCCTCTCATCAACACCAAACAGGAGCTCCTCCCCCGACTCCTCTGCTCAACACACCTCCGACCACCGAGACAATCCTCCACTCAATCATGACCCTGCTGACTCGCCTCGACCAAAGAGTATCCGGTCTCGAGGGCAACAGAACAGCAGCACGCTAGACAGAGACTTTACGCTACTCAGCTGGAACGCGAACAGCATCACACACAAAACGACTGAACTCTGATACATAGTCCAGACAAAAAACATCGACTTAGGCATCTATAAATTAATAAAAAAATTGGTCGAGGTTTATGAAAAGCCATTAAGGGAATCATGAAATATAATCAATAATATACGTAATCTCATATGCACCCATAAAAGTCTACATATATTTTTGTAAACTATAGTTTTAAAAATCATATTTGTATGAAATTCAACGATCTTTCAGATTCTTCAGCATAAAATGTTTTAAAACGACAAGAAAAGGCTAAAAACTAATTTTTCGAAGAAAGTAGTTTTTGCGAACTAGATAAAACCGAAGTCAAATAATTACACATCTACACATCCATACACCGATGCACACAGAACCAGACACCTTAGCTAAAGTTCTGTTTCGATTCTAAATTTCATGAAACACATTTATACTTATCGAATTAAGAAATACTTAAAAAAAATTATAAGTAGAGCGTGAAGCACTCCTGATCCGTCTAGTTCATTTAAAATTGTAATTAACTTAAGTTTAATGAATATTTGTTGAAATTCATCATACAGTTTTACTTAAGTAACAAATAATTAAAAAAAAACAATAAACTTGCATAAATATTAATTTAAAACTCACAATGACATTTTTATACACAATACATATTTATTTGATACCGCGACCAAGAGTTAGTCTTAAAAGACTTGGATATACTGTGTATGCACGAATAAAATTCTATTTTTTAAAAATACAATATAATTTTTTTGCAATATACAGGGATTACAACGGTGAGTAACATCCAACAGCAAATTTTTCTCAAACGAGAGTTCAGTAGATCTATTTACCTGTCCTGCTTGTCTTGTGACCAACTGTTGAAACAATTGAACCTGTCAGAGCATGTGGTCGAAATATTTTATCGAAACTGTGTGCAAATATTGAAAAAGGGCAATAAGAAAGACCTGGAGTTGTATAGTGACAATGACATAGTGTCATTAATCACACCCATGTC